GTTTTGACACTGACAATCATTTTAATGTCAATGTTTTTATTAAACGTTGTCTCTTTAAAGTTTGTGTGGCACAGATTTCTAATTTATAGACGAAATGTGTTGAAATGGCTTTGTTTTCAAATTTGGAATGCACCGATATCGTTTTAACCAGAGATTTCTTAGTAACCTAGATACGGTGATCCTATGCAAAAGCGAACATACGTTCTTGGCCAACATGTACACTATGCGTTTTGCTTTCCATCTTCTTTTACAGCATGGGAACGCAGGAGTATGATTTTGTAGGTCTTTGTTTAAACCTAGCAATTTACGATTTTGCGCAGTAAACCCTTAAATTCTGCTAGCGCAAGTCGGTTCTTAATTCATACAATGGCCGGTGTTTGTGTGTTTGTTAGTTTGTTCCAGAGATTTCTTAGTAACCTAGATACGGTGATCCTATGCAAAAGCGAACATACGTTCTTGGCCAACATGTACACTATGCGTTTTGCTTTCCATCTTCTTTTACAGCATGGGAACGCAGGAGTATGATTTTGTAGGTCTTTGTTTAAACCTAGCAATTTACGATTTTGCGCAGTAAACCCTTAAATTCTGCTAGCGCAAGTCGGTTCTTAATTCATACAATGGCCGGTGTTTGTGTGTTTGTTAGTTTGTTCTAAGAGATTTCTTAGGTTATAAGATTTATATTACGGTTATAAGTTTAAACTGCATAGAATTTCTAAAAATGGGTTACAGAGTGTGTGTTGTATGCAAAGAAACATCTAATAATTCTTTTGTTTCGCAAAAATATTACAAAGATTTTTAATAATCCCGACATGAACAATCAGTGCATTTCTCAGGGATTACTAGATAATCACAAAATACAATTGATGAAGGCAATAGCGCAAATTTAAAATTATTAATTTAAAAGTTCGCTTGCAACACGAAGCAAAACTGGTAAATTTTGCTTCAAAACAGGCGAAAATAAGAAGTAAATTAGTAAAATACATTTTATTTAATAATGAGTAACTAAGATTACATTAAATCACCAATATTTAATAATAATGTTAATAAATTTATACCACAGCTGTACGTCTTTTTTCTTTTTCGTTTTAAGCTCTCAACATTGTGCATGCAAATAAATACAATACGATTCTCTATTTATGTTAGAAACGTTCGTGGCAACAAAAACTTTTGACTATAAGAAAATTGTATTATGTCATTTTTCAAGAGTTTCGCCGGTGTGAATGATAAAGAAAAAGTACGAAAAAAGGGAAGTCGACAGTCAAATTTATTCCAACGATCTTGTCCTTGTAATATTTTAATCTTAACATTACAAATCATTTTGGAGATTGCTTAGAAACTTTTCGTTTGCCACTTGTTAAAAAACTCGAGTTATGATTCTCATTTATACCATTTTAAATCAGTGCGCCAAATTATCAACCAATGTTAACAGTCGCTAGAATTAGACGAAGATAACACTAGTATGTAGTGCACATTACAACGAGTAAGAGAAAGACAGAGAACTGAAAATATGTCGACACTATTTTCATACATGTTGTTCCACTCTCTGCTGCCCATAGCCGTATCTAGGTTACTAAGAAATCTCTGGTTTTAACGTACGGTGAAGCTCGGGGAAACGGCACTCGCGCCCAACGAATTTTTTCAGAAAACCTCCCAAATCGTCGTCTGCCAAATGTGCGCACTTTTAAGAACGTTGCAGCATTTTCGAGAGTACGGATCTTTTAAACCTGCACCTCAGGATCGGGGTAAGTTACGTAGTAATAGAATTGCTAATATTGAAGAGGCTGTTTTGAAGAGTGTTGAAGCTCGACCGAGCACTAGCACGTATCACTGTCTAGTGTGATGTATCGGAGAGTAGTATTTGGAGGATACTCAGAGAACAAATGTACCCCTTTCAGGACCAGAAAGTTCAGTTATTGAAACTAACAGACTTACCACGTAGGCAAAACTTTTGTGAGTGGGTTAATAGAAAAACAAACGAACAAGCAAATTTTGTATCTCTTATACCATCAACTGATGAGGTCGGTTACACGAGGGAAGGTGTTCAACACCCACATTTGGGCCGTTGAAATTTCGTACGCCATTAGGGAGCAGGATTTTCAGTTTCTCTCTAAATGTTTGTCACATTGACCAAGATTAGGAAAATACGTATCCTAGTAACTGTTTTTGACCATAAATTATTAATTATAATAATTATTAGTGACCATGGGTAACTGAGAATCCATGGGCGGGTAACCTTAATTGGGGTATAACTTTAACAATTTTTAACTTGATAATTAAAAAGTTCTTGACAAAACTCTACTAAAAAAAGTTGTTGAGTTCAATGAGCTCTATAACTGATTAAAATTAATGTACTTATTTCTGAGACACTCTGTATACAGTTGCCGCCAAAAAATTTCAGACGTCAATGTCATTCAGTCGTCAGATAGTGTAAAGCAATCTTTAGATGTTTAGGTATTTTGAAAGTTTGACATTCCAGCTGTCCGACATAATGACAATAAAGCATAGACTATATTAAAATTTTTGACATGACAGAAAAGTGATGTTTGAAATTTTTTGTCGGAAACTGTATATATAGATATAAATACATAGCCACTGCTTTCAGTGTATCCGACCCGCCGCGTCGGTAAAATGTCCGTATCATGTGTCCGTTTATGTTAAATGACGTAAATTGGGAGTAATGTAGAGACCCTAAATCAGATTTAGGGTCTCTAGAGTAATGGATAATGGATCTCCATCTATGAGAACTAAATTTAAACATAATTTATATAGGCACAATCATTATCGATGTGTAATGTTGGTTACATAGGCTAGTTTTAATAAACACGATTTATATTTAACAAATTTCAAAATATTGCTTTCAACAAATTCTCAAAAACTAATTTTGGTAATCATTAATTTTGGAAAAATTTTTGAAAAATCGATGAATTATTATCAGTCACTAGATTGACTACATCTGTGCCTATCGCACTATGTGGACGCATTTATTACGTATTTCATCTTTTTCTAATTCAAGGAACTTTGTGAAAGAGAATAACTGACGTATATAGAGCGTAATTTGGCCTAATTTCGGTAGACATACTATTTGTCTGGCTCTTCGTTTTTGTAATCCTTAAAACAAAGATTCTTATGGTAGGTGCTGTCTGAGCTTGTATGATACTTCGATCACGTGTGTCAAAAGATACATGAATCCAACTATAATACATTTAGTCGAATAAACTAGTAGACGGGCTTGATAAGCCTCGTTTGCTCTACAGTGTCTAAATTGTGTTTGAATAATAAAATAATTATCTCGAATATTAAAATTAATATGTCAAAAGAATACGAGAAATGATTATTCTGTGCTGAAGGTATATTGTGGGCCGCCTGTCATAAATTATCATTATTCCTGATTATCGGCTTACGATGTTTTTATGACCCACGTCCGGTAGTCGTCTATCCCAGCGCGTCAGGTAGATTTAAAGAAGAATTGCTGGTTGCGTTTAAGGCAACAAATTGCGCCCAATTCAAACTTGTCTCTCGTCTAGCGTTCTCGCATGCATCCACTGAGTATCCACATATTTATCGTAAGATATTTTGTTCAGATAAATCAAACTCTTTGTACTCTATCTTATCTATTTTTAGGGCATTATGAGGTGGTTGGGAATTATTAATTATGGCGGCGATGTTGTACCTCTCACTTAAATTGGTTATATCTTCATTAGCAGATAAGATTTGTTGTGTGATCAGATGATTAAAACAGGACTTGCGTTCGTGATGTATTTATTTTTTATGTTGTTGGTTTAGTAGATAAGGGAAGAGTGTTAGAGTTTGTGATTTTGAAAATGAAAAGACGGGTCGGTAGAGAGCAGTGAAACGGTTGTGTCGAAAGGGTTATTCGAAAGTATACTCGAAATCTTCGAAGGATAAGAATTATTGGGAAGGGTTAACAAAAGATACGTTTTACGACATGCAGGTGGACGAAGAGAAAGTTTCAGGGTGATAGTGGTTGGAAGTCAATAAATACAGACTATATACAAATATTACATGTTGCACAATTTTGTGGGACTTGCTAGCCCCCACAAAATGTTGCTAAATCAATAGTACAATTACCAGTTGGGTTGTGCTGCATATATAAAGTGTGATGTAAATAACTATTAATAACATCAGGATAAAAATAAATTTATTAACACCCTCACAGAACTAAAGTTATCTTGGCAATGAAAAGGTAACATTCAATATTATAACTGTATTTATACCCCTTAAAGTGTCCTCCTTGAATTTCAACGTTGGGTTGTAATAAACAATCGTCTAATGAGCTAGAGGGTGCTTTTATTATTATCCTCGCTATAAAATTGTACAGTTTGAGTTGTATATGCACATTTTACAGTTTTAAAGGATAAGAAAAGTTAATACAAGCATTTTGAGTAATTTAATGTTTTTTTATCCATATATTGAGTTGTTACATGTCAGGTGATGATAACAGTATTAGGACAATTTACTATTAATCAGGATGTAAACATTACAAAAGTACCAAAAAATGTTAGATATAATACAATCATTTTTCGAATAAACTTAATAATTGTAATTTTTTTAATCTTGTCTTTTTCCATTTATCAGGAATCTAGTATTTTTGGAAGAACCATATACCAATTTTGGTATAGTCTTACGATTGGTAATATCCCTGGTAATCAAATAGCCGCGCTACGAAAGTTTCACTCAAATTTAAATAGCGCGCCCGAAAGTGATGGTTTGGGCACAGTAGGTTTGGGGCGCAGTACATAAGGACTATTGTCGCTTAATTTTGCGAGCTGTCGCGTCTCTATTATCTCTGGTAGAATTTTTGAATTATGAATTGCCCCGCAATGTAAATTCTAACCTTACTTGAGTGGTCAATTAGTAGCAAGTAGTTGCAGAAACACTAGTTCCAATTTTACAGTAGCTGTCGCTTCGTCTTATTGTATATTCCTTGACTCTGGTATTGAAATACTGGCCCGCCACCTGCCGACTGGAATTTGACGTCATGCTCATGATAGTACGCGATGTGTCATCGTGATTTGTCAGTTGCTTCATTTTCCAATTTTTCTCATTTGCTTCTAGTTTACATGATTTTGTGTTAAAGTTGTAATGATTTCTTTGAATGTTGGCAGATTTAACTATTTTTGTTTATGAAGAATTATAAATTAATGAATGAATCACACCCAAGAGAATTTTTTATTATTTTCTAATGCCACTGTCAGGATCATCAAATGTTTATTAATTAACAGTGTTAGTTTCAATCACTAGTTTCAACACCTATTAATGTCGTAGGTGTTTTATAAATTCGCATTTGTATATTTCATTTTAAATCGAATTTGAACAGGAAATGGGTTTACTGTTTTCAAAACTGTGGAGTTTTTTTGGGAATGAAGGTAAGGTGTAAAATGTACATTATGTTTTATTAAAATTTTCATTTTGATTAGAACATAAAATTGTAATTGTTGGACTAGACAATGCAGGTAAAACAACTATTCTATATCAGTTCTTAATGAATGAAGTTGTTCACACTAGCCCTACGATTGGCTCAAACGTTGAAGAAGTTGTATGGCGCAATATTCACTTTGTAATGTGGGATTTAGGGGGTCAACAATCATTAAGGGCAGCGTGGAGTACTTACTATGCCAACACAGAGGTAACTAATGATGAAAAGTATACAATTTTATTAAATTTTGAATTTTTAGTTTGTGATATTAGTAATAGATTCAACAGATAAAGAACGGTTAAGTGTTATTAGAGAAGAATTATACAAAATGTTGGCGAACGAAGAACTTTCTAAAGCAGGTGTGCTTATATATGCAAACAAACAGGATGTTAAAGGATCAATGGGTGCATCAGAAATTTCCAAAGAATTGGATTTAACTTCAATCAAACAACAGCAGTGGCACATACAATCGTGTTGCGCTCTAACAGGAGAAGGGTAATTATACTTTGTGTTTATTATAATTAATTTTACACTGCCCCAAAAGATAGGCTCACATTGATAAATGTTTAATTGTTTTTCAAAGCAAGTTAAAACAATTTTAATGTCAAATGTTCTCCACTTGAAAGCATCAGACTGTGTAAAGTGATGTTCCTGTAGTATTCATAAGTACACTGTGTGGTTTCCTGTCAGCTGTATTTTAGAAGTATGGCATTATTTTCAACAGTTTTTTGCAACTACACCTATATCCTCAGAGTGCATCTGAGTATTGGTGATCCATGTGCTGTGTGAGTTTCTTCCACTTTTGATAGAGTGGCACTGTGGCATTTCAGTATTAACTAAATTGAGTTCACCTTTTTATTATATCTTTTTCAATTATTTCGCGGATAACGTCATTAAACCACTGTTAATTGAAATAATTTGTTCTATGCTGCAATTTTTACACTACCATAGTCCAAGTATGTTTGCTGCACTCTGTTAGTCACCACGACGGACTCCGTTGGTGCGAGAAGAATTGTGTCCCCGTCTTGTTTATTTTTCAATATGACCAACTTTTGTTTACATTGTGAGGGTGCCATAACACCAACAGCCTCCACGAAATGTAATGGCTCATGTAAAAAATACTGTCACTTAAAATGCTTGAAATTAGGAGATTCTGATATGGCCAATATAATAAATGAAAACTATCATTGGGTGTGCTCGAAATGTGCTACAGCTTCTAGTTCGAGTCGTGCATCTATTACTGCTGAAAAGTTAGAGGAAATTATTAAATCACAATTGATGACTATTAAGCTTAAACAAACTATAATAATAATTTTAAAATAATTAAGGATAGATTATCTGGAGTTGAAGAAAATGTACGCTTGATTCAAGACGTGTGGGCAAAATTTAAAAAATCCAACGTAAAAATGGATAATCCTTTGGATTTTAATACTGTTGTATCAGAAATTGAAGAGCGTAAATCACGGAGTACTAACGTTTTGCTGTTCAATATAAGTGAATCTATTTCATCGAATGCAGAAGAAAAGTTGTAGGGTGATCTTTTACAAGTAAATTCTATTCTTACGCCTTTAGGTTCTTTTCCGCAGCCTAAGAAAATCATTCGTGCTGGTATACCTAAGCCTAATGTAGTTCGCGCTTTAAAGATCGCCTATGAAAACGAAGATATAGCTAAAGATGTCCTACGATCAAATAAGAATAATAATAATCGTAATCACCACTCCCGGCCTGATTTGACGAAAATACAGCGAGATTATAATAATTCAATACGGAAAGAATTTAAGGATAAGGTTGCACAAAGGAATACTAACGTTACGTTGAGATATAAAAACAAGATGCCATATATTGTGGAAAAAAACATTTCTCGGATTGCTCATCCAAAAAAGTAATTAGTTTTTATTACCGCTAAATTAAAACGCTGGTGGCTTAAGGTCTCAATTAAAGGATTTCGCAATTAAGGTTAACTCTTGTGTTTATGACGTTATTATTATTTCTGAAACTTGGCTTAGTGATAATATTACTAGTTCTGAATTAAATTTAAACAACTATAATAATAATATACTTTATCGTATCATTGCATATTATAGTCATTTAATTGAAAACTTTAATTAAGTACATCATAATAGTACTAAAAGTCATAATACGTTAGATACATGGACATAATACATTAGTTACAACAAAATTATTTGTGGAAATGGATCATACTGAATACTTGCGATTTTTTAATTCGGTAATCAACAATCTTCTTTTTGATGAACCTTATCAACGCACCACACTTGTCGATGGCAAGCCTTTCATTGAATTCGAAACTGCTCGCAGCACTGAATATTTTGGCCACAAAGAAAATGGGAAATACTGACTTGTGAGATGCAGGAACTACGCCAATAAGATGTCTTCTGACGTTTGCTGCTGTTGTAACGAGTTGAGGCACTTCAGAATCTTTTCTTCCTGAGGAGTTTCTCGATGACAAATTATGACAAATAACGAAATTTTTGACGCAGCCGATAAAATTAGAAATGTTTATTTTAGCATGGCCGACTAGTATAAAGATTATGGCCTGTCCAAAGGTACCGTACATGCTGCCATCTATTAATAATTCAAAAACGGCAAAAGAATTATTAACACTTTTTGAAAGGCACAAAGGCATTCATACCGAAACAAACGACCATTACACGTTTTGAAGTCTCATAATCTCAAATCAAAATAAAATTTTGCTAAATTATTAAGTGTAATTATTAATAGATAATAGATTGAGGACCCGGTGGGTGAGGTGGCTTGCCATCTGCCCACTACACCTTGGGTCGTGGGTTCGATTCCCGCTCTGCCTCTGGGTGTTTTTGTATGTCCCCTTTCTTGTAATTGGGCCTCTCGGCCTGTTGGAAAGTAATTATAAAAAAAAAAAAAATAGATGGCAACACGTATGGTACCTCTTGGACAGGCCATAATCTTTATACTAGTCGACCATGATTTTAGCAACGCGTTGTTAATGATACGATAAAGCTTTGAATATAACTCGACTATTTCTCTCAGAAAATTTCAACCAATCATATTAAAGCATTTTGCCAAAATCTAGCAACGGAAGAATATGACCGAGTATTCGATGCATTATGCAAATACCCGGGTATTTTCACGTGTGCTTATAGTGAATATTTTTGACATTCTACAAAAATAAGTATTGACTAAATTATTTTAAAAGTTTATTTATTCGAATACTGAAATACACAGTTATAATAGTTATTAGTTGCAATTTTATTACTTGTAGCTTCGCTTGGCAAATTTTCATTTCTCATTCTTGAAATCAATTCGGTTTGATGTTCTTCATCCAGTTTTAAGTATGAATTGATTGAGCTCACACTGGTGTGACCTGTAATTTTCGTTATTTGGTGTTCGCCAACACCACTTTTTGCCAAATTTGATACGGCACTGGAACGGTTGGAATGATTTGTCACTTTTATGCGTTTTACATCCATTCCTATCCCCTTTGCCTCAGAAACAGTCCATTTGGATATAATAATAATTATATCTAAAATGTACAAAATATGATGAGCCTGTACTTGTCATTTATCACTCCATTCATATTTTTTGGATTTGCATACACAGAGTGACTCAAAAAAATTAATGAATGCGTAAATATATTTTATTGATTTAATCAGGAACTACAAAACGGAATGCTCTGACATCTTGCAGATGCTTTAAAGTTATAAAGAGCATAATAAATGTTTAGTCAAAATATATTTGCTTATCCCCTCCAAAAACTTGATGACGTCAGCTCGAAAATTTGCCGAATAAATCATATCTAAAATGTACAAAATATGATCAGTCTGTACTTGTGATCTATCACTCCATTCATATTTTTTAGATTTGCATATACAGGGTGATTCAAGAAAATAAATTAAAGCGTAAATTTATTTTACTGATTTACTCAGGAACTACAAAACCGAATGCTTCGAAATCTTGAAGATATTTTAAAATTATCATAAGCATGGTAAATTTTTGATCAAAACGTATTTGGTCGTCCCCCCTAAAAAATTTATGATGTCACCACAAAATTTTGCTGAATAAATCCTATCTAAAATGTACAAAATATGGTGAGTCTCTTCTTGTGATTTATCATTCCATTCAAATTTTTTCGATTTGCATATACAGGGTGACTCAAAAAAATTAATGAATGCGTAAATTTATTTTATTGATTTAATCAGGAACTACAAAACCGAATGCTTTGAAATCTTGCAGATGTTTTAAGGTTATAAAGAGCATAATAAATTTTTAGTCAAAATATATTTGGTTATCTTCTACAAAAAACTGATGACGTCAGCTCAAAAGTTTGCCGAATAAATCGTATCTAAAATGTACAAAATATGATGAGTCTGTACTTGTGATTTATCATTCCATTCATATTTTTGGATTTGCATATGCAGGGTGACTCAAAAAAATTAATGAAGGCGTGAATTTATTTTATCGATTTAATCAGGAATTACAAAACCGAATGCTTTGAAATCTTGGGAATATTTTAAAGTTATTATAAGCATGGTAAACTTTTGTTCAAAATGTATTTGTTCATCCCTCCTAAAAAAATTGATGACGTCACCCTTAAATTTTACTGAATAAATCCTATCTAAAATGCAAAAAATATGATGAGTTTGTACTTGTGATTTATCATTCCATTCATATTTTTTAGATTTTCTTAAGAGGTGGTTCAAAAAAATTAATGAAGTCAATTTATTTTATTGATTAAATTAAAGGCAACACTTATTATTAGTATTACACCCCAACCAACCCAATTTGGTAGACACAAAATTTGTTAAAGGAAAAACTCGGTTGAAACATAAGGGTAGCACGTTTATTTACATCTATTTTAACATTACAGACGTGCGTTTGTTTTGTTCGTTGACTAGGTTCCGCGAATGTGGAATAGACATGTTTATAATCAACCAATTGTGAATTTCACCGTCAAGAATTAAAATAAAACCCAATGTTTTATATAATAAGCGGAAGTCGAAGCAATAAAACCGATGGTCGTTTTGTTTATAGTTTCTCTGTTTGACTCTCACGTATGCTGTTACGCTTGTCATCTTAAATTAAGAATGTTTATACATAAACGATTTTCAGTTGCCCCTCATATTACTAGACGGCGGATTTCTGTCGGGCTACGTCACGATTATAGGGGGGGACGTGCTGGATTCCATAAATATAATTAACGATTTATTAATCAAACGGCTAAGTAAATGAGAACGGCAATTAACAGCAGAGTGCAACGAAACAACGTTACTCTAATCTCAAACAAACGAAGTGCAGTCCGCAACGGCAATGAATTCGCATCCCGTGCGAGCCGTACCGAGTTTGGCCTTGCCTTGCCCGACAGAAATCCGCTCTCTAGATATTACACACCGGCGCCGTATACGTGAGTAAATTGTTTCGTTATTTTATTGATTATAAGAAATCAATATTCAAAACGACCCAATTCATTTTCCCGAAAATTTGGGAACACAATAATTTTA